AAAAACTTGGGTCTTAATGCTGTGCCAGCAAAAATCACCAAAAAAGTATTATGGTTACGGCTTCTTGACGAAATTTCTTTAAATACTATTTACACTGTTTATAGTAACGTGGGAATAAAATAACAAAAAAGAGAAAAAAAGAAACGAAAGAAATGAGTGGCTTTGATAGAAGTGTACGGTGGTCAGAGGAGCTTAGCTTTTGAGCTAACCATTGCTGCGTATTATGAATAGAAATACTTAATATGGAGAGTGCGCTAGGTGCCATGGCCAATATGGACGATGATGTGAAAAAATCATTTGTATGTAGTTAACTTTGAGAGTTTAAGGGGAGACCGGAGAGAACGTCGCCGCATGTAGACGTGCGTTTGTTTGCTCCGCTGGCCTTTTAAGAATTTACTATATTTTTGAAGTATCATCATGTTATATTCTTGGGCAGAGACACTTCAGTGTTACAGTGTTTCTCTTTACCCATGTATTCAAGCGGCTGGGTGTGAATATCCTTTGGTAGTTTCATACTATTCTTCGTTTTCACTGTCAAGCAATAAACACGGCACACACACACACAAAAAAAAAAACTATAAAGCGTCCAGTAGAAGAAGCCGAGAAAATGAAATGTTATAAAACACTAATATATAAACAATTTGTCCAAGTCTCAGGTCTTTGTGACCCACAGTTTCTGAGTTATTTGCCGAAACATTTAACGCACCTTTGTAGAACTTTGTATGGAGTCGACCAATGTGGCCGCCGAAAATCAACAAAAACATCTGGAGTTCACTTTTTCTGTAAAAGCTCTTTCTTTTCACTCGAGAGCTAGCACACGTTCGCATAAACACGTCTTTTAAAACTTGAAATGGATAAGCTGCTGAAAATCAAGAGGAGAGACCTTTTTCAACGAGGCAGCATTTCTATTTTAGTGTCTTGCACTGTGAAAACTCGGAAGTTTAAATTGCTGTATTTTCGAAATAACTCACGCTTCGGGGCTGGCAAGTTGTACCAAGATTTATTTTTTATTTATCTTCATCCTAGTGTAAATAAGAATTCATAAAACCTCGCTATTTTGACTTTGCAATTTGATGACGTCAATATATTGGCAAATAAATTTGTAAATTACCAACCCTTAGCTGTCCGATCAGTCTTGCCTTCTCAATTCTAAGTGTTACTTTATATTGCTGATCCTGATCTAGAACAAGATCCAGCTTTCCTTCGGAGCTGTTTGTCCAAATGGTCCCTGCAAGAATCGTACGCTAAGAAGCTAGTAATGCCCGGTCATTGCAAGAAAACAGTCAGTCAGAGCGCGCGTACTATTGTAGCCATATAATAAAGAACCGTAATTTCATTGTTTTCATCCAAGTCGCACTAAGGTCTGGCTCGGTTTGTAAGGCAAAGGCAATATCTTAGTTCCTCAGTTATTTTAAGGCCATGAGTATTGCCAGGTCCCTGCCTGTGGATTAAATCCTCGACTTCAGTTCAGGGGTACAGTAATGGCGTGGTTAAGCAGTTAAGTTGAATGATATGATATACGTCTCTTTTCAGGTTAATTTTTAGTATGGCTGTCCTATCGCTATGGACCCTTTCGACCTTGGTCATATGTATTCTTCAGAGAAGTAAATATTTTGTTTTTTGTTCTTTGTTCTTTTTCCCAAGTTTAATGTAGAATTTCCAATGAAAATCAAGATTGAATACAGCTTTCCATTTACATTTGTCGGACTAAACTACTCCACCAAGTTAATAAAATAACAACGATAACCTTTATTCAAAGAAAGTAACATTAATTTATTAATTTAACCCTAGTCTAATAATTCTCTATAGATTAACAATTAAACAGTTTTAAGATATATTGTCATTCTTACCCACAAAAAGAAAACATACTGGTAACCCAGGGATTTCCCAGTGTTTTCAGGGGAGAAGTCACCAAATGAGACGCCGCAGCTGAGCGATCCTCGCCAACTGAGTAAAAGTTAATTTATCATTTTTCTTTCCCTAAGTTCTGCATATAATATTAATAATTAGCAAATGTTAAATGTTTGCACATTTAACGTTTGTTTTACTCTTTTGTGGACAGAAGTTGTTGTAAAGGGGCTACCACCTAAGGTAAATGCATCTGTATTNGTATTCTTCAGAGAAGTAAATATTTTGTTTTTTATTCTTTGTTCTTTTTCCCAAGTTTAATGTAGAATTTCCAATGAAAATCAAGATTGAATACAGCTTTCCATTTACATTTGTCGGACTAAACTACTCCACCAAGTTAATAAAATAACAACGATAACCTTTATTCAAAGAAAGTAACATTAATTTATTAATTTAACCCTAGTCTAATAATTCTCTATAGATTAACAATTAAACAGTTTTAAGATATGTTGTCATTCTTACCCACAAAAAGAAAACATACTGGTAACCCAGGGATTTCCCAGTGTTTTCAGGGGAGAAGTCACCAAATGAGACGCCGCAGCTGAGCGATTCTCGCCAACTGAGTAAAAGTTAATTTATCATTTTTCTTTCCCTAAGTTCTGCATATAATATTAATAATTAGCAAATGTTAAATGTTTGCACATTTAACGTTTGTTTTACTCTTTTGTGGACAGAAGTTGTTGTAAAGGGGCTACCACCTAAGGTAAATGCATCTGTATTATTATTATTATTATTATTAATGATCAATTCACTTTTTATCAAATTTTTGAATTACACAGTACTTACATTGCAATAACCCATCATAAGTTCTGATATGATAACAAAAAAGATCCTCAAATTAGCGTCAACAAGATTGTTTGAAGTGGCAAATGTAGATAATAGAGAGATTAAGATTCACGTTTAGCAATCGGCAAAGGTGGAATTGTAACACGTGAACAAATTTCCCCCTTAATTGTCGTTTATTGTTTATATAACCACTTCTACTAAAAAAATAAGTAGTTTCACGCTATTTTTATCCATAAGAATAGTTCTGGACAGCTTATATCTGCTTACTTTCTATTCTGAGAAATTTCCAACTTGAATCTGACGTTTGCTGTTTGCCGTAAACGTGACTCTTAACCTCTCTAATAAAGACTGCTTACGAAAACATCTGATTTGACTGCCAGGCTACTTACATTTAGTGAAACCAGCAGAAACCTTAGCACGCGACTGACCTAACACATACTAGCGACGAGAAATGGCGACGTCAACAATCACTTTGCTGAGCACCATTTACAGACGAAAGCGTCAAATCGACTGGAACTCTGCGACGTGGATTACGTATTCTACAAACTACTACCAACGACTCACTTTAGAAAGCTAGTTTTACTAACTTAGAACAAACGCCACTGAATCGTAGTCAACAGTTACCCACACCGTATAACTGTGACAGTAGACGGATCGTAAAGCACCAATGACATTACGAGTCTTCATAGCCAATAAGATCACGGCTTAACTGACAGACGAACAAAAACATCGCGATTTTACCAATCAGATCAATAACCAGAGTTTAATACCATCAACTGAAGTGATACAACTCACTTTGACTCTGAAGATTGCTACTGCACACTGGGTTGTTGAAACGTCAGTCTATGTCAACAAAAACAGTCATGTTGGGGACTACATTTACCCGGACGATCATACTCAACCTAGTTATGATATACCCAATTTTATAAAATGTGTAAAACGTGGATAAAAGGTGTGTACTAGGTGTTCTCCATGTTTTAGTTGGTGATTTTTGCATGCGAGGTGATGGGAAATATATTCGTTGTTTTTTCATAGACGGCCAGGTTTTTCATAAAAAAGAGTGACCGATAAAAATCCTAATCCGTTATCCTAATCTGTTACTCCGTAAGAAGTAAGCGTATTTGACTTCAATGAATGGGCCTGTGATTTTAAGTACTTATTCTATACTGTTTCATTTGTTATCAGCAGAATCTCCATCATCATATGACCAAAAGAGAAATTAAACATTTTTTTGGTGTAGAAGATCATGATAAAGGTAATTATGGTGAATATTCAAGGTAGCTTGGCGGTTTTCTTCAAGCACTTTAATAATAATATATTCCGAATAATTTGAATAGGTTGATAATCTCTGTCTCTACACGGTTTTGAGGTCCATAATTACGCAATAACTCCATCAGCAGTCTCAGTTCAAATCATCACATGCAATAGTAGTTTGCAGGTAGATTGCGGTTTATTTTAAAGTTTAGCATTAAAGTTTTCCTTTTTTTATCTCTCTGAACAACTGCTTTTATTGGTTTTCTTTGTAAGTTCCTGAATATGATGTCGCCAGTCCTTACCTGTCCAATAATCAGGGAGACTTCGTGTCTTATTCCCTACATCCTAGCCCGGCCAGGAGTAAACGAGACGCTGATCGTTATGCCGAGAATTCCTATTATAAGTTGGATACATTTGGCACAAAACTTCATTTGAGATTAAGACGAAACGAACACTTGTTGGCTCCAGATCTGAAGCTAGTGAGACAAAACGGTGACGGCACAACAACTTCGCATCGAGCACCGCCAAATACTTTTTATCTGGGACATGTTGTTTCAGATCCACTCTCCACAGTCGCACTTAGCAACGATGGAGGTCTGGTAAGTAAAAACTAAAAATTATTGACTCTAGAGACGTAACCACACTTCTTCTATTGGTCTTCATCCAATAGAGCGCAAAAGAAATTAGCGACGTGGGAATCATAAAAGTCATAACTGAGATGATAGTGACATTTGAAAATTATTTACATTGTCAGACTGGCTTAGTGAAAACATCACGTGATACGCTGTTTCTGCACCCTCTTCCTCCACATTTGGCTAAGCACGTGACGAGCAGTAAAGATGCCACGCCCCACCTTGTATATCGAAGGTCTTTCGAAGACAGCGATGCCTGGTGTAACATAAAGAGTGGTAAAATAAATCAATTTTTTAAGATTTGTTTCTTTTTACGTCTTCTCTCTTCCCTAAGTTCTGCATATAATATTAATAATTAGCAAATGTTAAATGTTTGCACATTTAACGTTTGTTTTACTCTTTTGTGGACAGAAGTTGTTGTAAAGGGGCTACCACCTAAGGTAAATGCATCTGTATTTTTATTATCATTATTATTAATGATCAATTCACTTTTTATCAAATTGTGAATTACACAGTACTTACATTGCAATAACCCATCATAAGTTCTGATATGATAACAAAAAAGATCCTCAAATTAGCGTCAATAAGATTGTTTGAAGTGGCAAATGTAGATAATAGAGAGATTAAGATTCACGTTTAGCAATTGGCAAAGGTGGAATTGTAACACGTGAACAAATTTCCCCCTTAATTGTCGTTTATTGTTTATATAACCACTTGTACTAAAAAAATAAGTAGTTTCACGCCATTTTTATCCATAAGAATAGTTCTGGACAGCTTATATCTGCTTACTTTCTATTCTGAGAAATTTCCAACTTGAATCTGACGTTTGCCGTTTGCCGTAAACGTGACTCTTAACCTCTCTAATAAAGACTGCTTACGAAAACATCTGATTTGACTGCCAGGCTACTTACATTTAGTGAAACCATGCAGAAACCTTAGCACGCGACTGACCTAAACACATACTAGCGACGAGAAATGGCGACGTCAACAATCACTTTGCTGAGCACCATTTACAGACGAAAGCGTCAAATCGACTGGAACTCTGCGACGTGTATTACGTATTCTACAAACCACTACCAACGACTCACTTTAGAAAGCTAGTTTTACTAACTTAGAACAAACGCCACTGAATCGTAGTCAACAGTTACCGGCACCGTATAACTGTGACAGTAGACGGATCGTAAAGCACCAATGACATTACGAGTCTTCATAGCCAATAAGATCACGGCTTAACTGACAGACGAACAACAACATCGCGATTTTAGCAATCAGATCAATAACCAGAGTTTAATACCATCAACTGAAGTGATACAACTCACTTTGACTCTGAAGATTGCTACTGCACACTAGGTTGTTGAAACGTCAGTCTATGTCAACAAAAACAGTCATGTTGGGGACTACATTTACCCGGACGATCATACTCAACCTACTTATGATATACCTAATTTTATAAAATGTGTAAAACGTGGATAAAAGGTGTGTATTAGGTGTTCTCCATGTTTTAGTTGGTAATTTTTGCATGCGAGGTGATGGGAAATATATTCGTTGTTTTTTCATAGACGGCTAGGTTTTTCATAAAAAAGAGTGACCGATAAAAATCCTAATCCGTTATCCTAATCTGTTACTCCGTAAGATGTAAGCGTATTTGACTTCAATGAATGGGCCTGTGATTTTAAGTACTTATTCTATACTGTTTCATTTGTTATCAGCAGAATCTCCATCATCATATGACTAAAAGAGAAATTAAACATTTTTTTGGTGTAGAAGATCATGATAAAGGTAATTATGGTGAATATTCAAGGTAGCTTGGCGGTTTTCTTCAAGCACTTTAATAATAATATATTCCGAATAATTTGAATAGGTTGATAATCTCTGTCTCTACACGGTTTTGAGGTCCATAATTACGCAATAACTCCATCAGCAGTCTCAGTTCAAATCATCACATGCAATAGTAGTTTGCAGGTAGATTGCGGTTTATTTTAAAGTTTAGCATTAAAGTTTTCCTTTTTTTATCTCTCTGAACAACTGCTTTTATTGGTTTTCTTTGTAAGTTCCTGAATATGATGTCGCCAGTCCTTACCTGTCCAATAATCAGGGAGACTTCGTGTCTTATTCCCTACATCCTAGCCCGGCCAGGAGTAAACGAGACGCTGATCGTTATGCCGAGAATTCCTATTATAAGTTGGATACATTTGGCACAAAACTTCATTTGAGATTAAGACGAAACGAACACTTGTTGGCTCCAGATCTGAAGCTAGTGAGACAAAACGGTGACGGCACAACAACTTCGCATCCAGCACCGCCAAATACTTTTTATCTGGGACATGTTGTTTCAGATCCACTCTCCACAGTCGCACTTAGCAACGATGGAGGTCTGGTAAGTAAAAACTAAAAATTATTAACTCTAGAGACGTAACCACACTTCTTCTATTGGTCTTCATCCAATAGAGCGCAAAAGAAATTAGCGACGTGGGAATCATAAAAGTCATAACTGAGATGATAGTGACATTTGAAAATTATTTACATTGTCAGACTGGCTTAGTGAAAACATCACGTGATACGCTGTTTCTGCACCCTCTTCCTCCACATTTGGCTAAGCACGTGACGAGCAGTAAAGATGCCACGCCCCACCTTGTATATCGAAGGTCTTTCGAAGACAGCGATGCCTGGTGTAACATAAAGAGTGGTAAAATAAATCAATTTTTTAAGATTTGTTTCTTTTTACGTCTTCTCTCATTGGTCTTTTCTTTCCTTATCTTTAATATGCTTTTCTTTTCAGTTCAAGTTAGTTTGTGTTCACACTTTCAGCGCAGTCTTAACTGGCAAACAATAATAATAATAACAATAATAATAATAATAATAATAATAATAATAATAATAATAAGTACAATCTTTATTACAAAACCTCAATTAAAATCCTATTTACAATCAACCTGCTGTTACAAAAAATCTAATTAATTCATCAAAACACTATCTACAATTCCATCCGTTACAAAAGAAACCTCTCGGCCTTCATTAGAGAACAAAAACAATCCTATATATAATAAGTGAAGAAGGAAACTATTCATTTACAAATTCTAAAAAATAGAAGTAACTTAACCTTACATAAAAGAAGAGGAAATAGATATAATTAATAATAAAAGTTCGAAATTCTATAAAATAAAGAATTCCATTATGCAGAGATATTAAGATCATACAATCGAATTATACTAATGACGGCTAAACCAGTGTCCATAAAAAAAATAATAATCATCATCATCATAATAATAATAATAATGATAATAATAATAAGGTGGCGAAAATATCCAGCACAAATTTATTGCATATAGTTATTAATCAAAGATTATTGCCAACTTCCTACCGACCAGTCAGTGACAATAAAATGGAGTAAAAAACGCTTTTTTAGACAGTGGATCCAGTACCTTGGACCCACTTTGCTATTTATTTTGTATTATTGTTGTCCATGTCAAAACGGCCAACAGCTCTGTTTGATATTTCACAGATGAAGCAGATATCCATTCGAAGAGATCCTTGGAAACTGAAGACTCTTTGCCCGTGAGAGCAAGTACCCCAGTATACAAGACTCTAAAAGTGGCGTTACTGTACCCTTCACCTCTTAGGGTGAAATACTCTAGTGGGTCCTTATACAGTTCTCTGGGAGGTGTTGAAAATTACCTGTTAGTTGTTGCTAATATGGTAAGTATTGGTTTTGCATTTCTCTAGTCATCCTCGTTCTAGCTCCTCTGTAATGAGTAAAACCCCTCTCCCCTTTACGGCCCTCTTTTTCCTTACCTACATGAACTAATTCCAGAAAATAACTAATAACTAGTTACTCCTAGTAATTCTGTTTGTTTGCTTGTTTGTTAGTTGGTTGGTTTTTACTGTATTATTTCTCATATCACGTTATTCCATCTTTAAACTAGACGATAGAGATTGCCAGTATCTTCAGTATTTAATTGCTACTATATATTTCCCCTCTTCTGGTTTGGGCCTTTCCCGATTGCGCTCGTAAAATCCTCAAAAAGTGCTGGCAAAAATGGCTAAAAAGTGCTCAAAAAGTGCTCAAAATCTCAAAATAGTGCTCAAAAAGTGCTAAAAGTTGTGAACAGTTACCTCTAAGCTTTTCGTAAATATGTCAATTTTTACTAAAGTAATTAACAATCTATTTTGCGTAGTGTTATTCGACAGGTTGTAACGAAAGGTTGATAGAATATAGAACAATATTTTTAAAAAACTAAAGCCGGTTTAAAATACGAATTGTAAATTAATTCAGCAGTACTAGCATCAGATGATTTAGGGCCTCTTCATATGAGCCCGGTTGACCGGGCTGGCCCGGTTTCCGAGATCTCGCCTCACCTCTAAATCCTTCGTAAAATTTTCGATGTGTTCATATGAGAGGGCGGGCTGGCTCGGTTCCCGAGATCTCGGTTTTTCCAACCGAGATCTCGGTAAGCGGGCTGGAAATTTTGCCATATGAACACTTCAGCCCGGTTACCGGGATGAACGGCGGGATGAATTCTGGCGCTCCGGATGGCATCGTCTTGCATTGCCTGCTGTATTTTCCACATCATAAGCATCCCATTTAACTGCAGTGATACAGCTTTAAGAGTTACCGATGCTAAGATAGGCCCAAAAGTTAAAATTTTTGTGTTTCGCTATGTTTGCTTTGTTTCCTAAATTTGGCGCCAGAACTCGTACCCAGGATCTTTGACCTTTTCTCATCTCGGAAACCGGGCTGAAATTTCTCATATGAACCCAAAGCAAAATTCATCCCGGTAACCGAGCCAGCCCGGTCAACCGGGCTCATATGAAGAGGCCCTTAGAAGACATATGTTGCTCCAAATTTGCTCGAAATGTGAAATATTGCTCAAATGTTGCCCAAAGTGCGAAAAAGTGCGCAAGGGTGCTCAGAATGCAAAATAGTGCTCCAAACTCAAAAAAGTGCTCAAAAGGTGCTCAGCGCAATCGGGAAAGGCCTATTCTGGTTGCCGAACGTTGTAGGAAATTTCATGCAAATGGCTTTATGTGCTAAGGATACCAGTGAGGTCTCTTGCTGAAATAGTATATATCTCAGAAACAGAGATAAACGAAAAAGAAAAGTTCCATAGTAAATCTGCAGCTACACAGAAAGGATAAATAACGTATACAAGGTTTTGACAAGTCCCGGCTTGGTTGACCAAACTGCTGTAAATCTCATAAATTACTTCATTCGTCCTCTGATAGTTGGTATTATTTTTATTGTTTAGTTCGGTTAAATTTTGATGGGAGGAACGTGAAGTTTATAATTATATATCTATATCTATGTCTTTTACGATGTTCTTAGGTGGCTGGCATGTTTCAAGACCCCTCGTTTGGAAAAATAAAAATCACCTATGTGGTTACCAACCTTACCGAGATAGTTCCCGCGCAGGTAGTAACACGATCAGAAAATACAATTTTAATTGGAATATGTGTAGTGATTTGGCAGTCACGACATTAGATTCTACTGCATGACTTATATCTCGGCATAACATGTAATTTGGGCGACATCTTAATTTAGCGATTTAAAAAAATATATTTAGCGACTTAAGTGATGCGTACATTTTGGACATAAATCACTTAGATTACGTTTTGGGGAATTTACGACAATAATTGAAATTTTGTGGGTTATTAGCTTGATTTAAATCAATTTTCAGTTTAATGTTTGAAGTTAACAAGCCCGAGAAAAACTGAAACTGTGTTGGCAAGATACACTGAAAGAAACCTCCCATCAAGTTAATTTGGTGATGGCTGAAAATTAACGCTACACTTAATAAATTCTGGTGCTGTTGAATTTTGCAATTTTCAGAAGAACTGCCTCCAGATACCGTTACCAATGAACACAGTTAAACGAACTCCATTATATTAAAATCTTTATTGCAGTATAGTTTCAGCTTGAGTAATTCTTCGTATTGGAAGCTGAAGAGACTAGCGGACAAAATTAAAGAAGACAATAAAGCATCCAGAGTACCCTACGATGTCTTTAGTTACGTGTCAAAGTAAGAATTTTGACGGTTTGTTGATTTATGTAAGTTTATTTGTATTGGATTATTAACATTTATATCTAATTACATTTAAACGTTTCTTTACTTTCAGTCATATTGAGGGTATAGGTAAGTCCTTGCAATTTTTTCAGTTTTCTGAGGGTCGCCGAAACTCTCTCGTGATGTTATATTCTCTATACCCTTGAATTACCGCTAGTTTCAGTTAATGTTAAGGCAAAATATTTTCTTTGGAAATAAAACAAAGCTGTTGAGACTTTCATCTCATTGAGGGGCATATTGTCAATAAAGGACAATGATGATTGGTATTTTATTAAAATACTGTCAGAAAACATGCTCTCATTGCTTGGAAGACAGTTTTTACAATACAACTTTTAGATGTACATCCAAACAGTCATGCCTGCTTTTTCATTTTTTTTGCTTCTGGTCAGTATCAAGTATGACTAACGTGGACAAAAGATTGTAAGAGTCAGCAACGCGACTCTCTAATAAGTCAGGTCCAAACTTCATTTCAATAGCGCTTGGTTTATATATAAAGCAGGGCCTACTTTCAACGCCTATAGTGCTGGACAAGGACTGCAGTGTGAATATCTTGCGAAAAATAATATATTGAGGTTGGGAAATGCGGATATAATTGCCATAATAGACGTTTATAGGGGAGTTCACGCTCATAGTTGCATCATGGGTAATCAGGGCAAGATGGCGGGAAATAAGAAGGTTTTTATTAGAATTCAAAGTCAGCCAATTATTTCAGAATTCATATATATATATTCGGTGCTTTCTCTTTGAAAAGAGCAATTTACGAGTTCAAAGAAACAAAAGGTTGAAAGTGGAGTGCAAAGAAGTTCGTGATCAGTGTTTAGCAAACCTTGGTTTTCCCATACATTTTCTGTAATTCGAGAGTATCAAAATTACAAAAAAATGTATGGAAAAATTGTGGTTTTCTAAAAACTGATCACGGACTTCTTTGCACTCCAGATTTAGTGTATTGTTTCTTTAAACTCAAAAGTTAATCTTTTCAAAGAGGAAGCATCAAATATATGAATTCAGGAAGAATTAGCTGGCTTTGAATTCTAATAGAAATCTTTGAATTTCCCGCCATCTTGCCCTGATAGCATGGTGCAACTATGAGCGTGAACTCCTCTATATGCTCAGAAGAAACCTTTCTTAGTAGAACGACTCGCAGCACGTTTTCATAAAGTTTGTATACGAGGGAGCGCGTAAGGGTTTACGGTTATGCGGTTTTGTGGTAATTTTTATTTCAAAGTACGCTATTGCGGTTTTCAGAGTCCAAGCGATGTACGGTTATTTTAAAATTTATGTCGCGGTAATCAATGAAAAAATTGTTGTCTCACGGTGATCTGCTTTCCTTTTTTTAAAGCATGACAACTCTGCAAATCCTTAAAGGTTTCCCTAGCCTGCGTGACCTGCGTGTCGGGCCTGTCTCAGCTAAGCTCTCCCTAGTTGTACAGTCGGTGACCGTACTGCGAAAACAGTCCAGACAAATCGTATGGCTTCTAATTTCAGTTAATTCTTGATATGATCAAAGACATTAACCTTTTTATCCAATGATACGTAAACATCTCCATTGAAAAGGCGGATCTGTAGTCTTGACAACGGCAACTTTTTCCCATTTGTAACTGCGGTTTCGGTATTTGGGTAAATTTTGATGCGATATTGCGGTTTTCTCGTTCTCCCATGTGCGGTATTGTGGTTTTCGTACCCCACTTACCTACCTCTCTATACCGACCTTGTTAAGGCGATCAGTTTTTTCCGATCATTTAATTCCATTTAGGTCTCGCCGTTTTTAATCAGATCTGTAGAGGGCCCACTGGAAATTTAAATCATGACAAGGGTCTTCAAACGGCACTCCACATTGCCCATGAAACAGGACACAAGTAAGTACCTGGTGCTTCGCTAAGATATGTTCGCTTTTGTATGGACGTCTATAGAGCGGGGAAGCTCCAGGTGATGGGCTGCTTTAAACAATTTGTTCGATAATGATGCTTTCATATTAGTTCAACCTACTTTCCCTTGAGATGCAAATGTTAATCATATAGAAGTCCCTTTCATTATTTTACGTTTTTTTTGTAACTATCTTTTATTTTATTCCATATTTTCAAACTGCCATTTGCTAGACTGAGCACCTCTACCTTTGGTAAAATATTTTTAATAATGACATATTTTTTAAATCAGCTTGGGGCTTGGTCATGATGGTGGTTACTGTGAAGGACACATCATGAACGCTGTTATTCCTGGAGGAGAACACGCATCAGAGTGGTCCGAATGCTCTAGGAAGGTTATTCAACCATTCCTCTCTAACAGGTATGTTTAGCAACTATAACTTATCAAGACCATGTACATAGAATATTTTATACATACTACTGTTGGTACTATCAATAAAGGTCTACATATAAACACACCATCTAGTCACCTTTTAATGCCATACATCCATTCGCGCTCTCAGTCACTACACCCACCTAGCCAGTTACAATGTTGCCAGCAACCCATCCAAGCCATTCAATCCACTGATCTCTTTTATATCCATCCGTTTTAGAGTTTGCCTGTTCATCTCTCTATACGATTTTGATTCATATGCAAACTATAATATATTCTCTGTTAATC